AATTTTGACCTTAAATACAAATAAAATTCAATTTCAATCTTATAGTTCAAGATTGAACATGCTTACATTTTCCTGCTTCAAAAGGTGACTTACAGAGTACAGACACAAGAATAAATCATGAATAAAACCACCACTATGGTAATATCTAAATATTTATTGCTCTGCTCAGAATCTAAAAGTATTGTTCAAAATTGAAATAATATACTTCAATATGAATTCCATACTTGTTTGTTAATATGAGTTTGTTTTTAATCATACCAAAAATTAAAATATTCAATWAATTTAATTTTAACAACATTTTTTTTTTACGTTTTTTGTTAATATTGCTTAATGATTAAAAACAGTAAATTATTATGTTTGATTATTGCGTGCCATTATTTTTTGTTTAACGTTAATTTTTTGAAAATGTYATCAGTTATAAATTATAAGGTTATAACGTTATAAATAACGATCTGAAGTCTTGAAATACAAATACTTATTTTAAAATCGTATGAGGTGTATAAATATATTATTCTGCAACACAGAGATTATTTTAAACCTCCATAATACTATCTAAGTATACCTATAAAATGTTTTTATATTTTGAAACTAATGATGTCAGTGTCATAAAAAAAAACTCAGATGGTTTTATGGTGGTTTAAAAATGTTATGACAATATTCATTTCGATCATTAAATACCTGTGTACAGTATGTGTAATATTAAAATTTTTTCTAAATTTGAACCGATAGATTAGTTTTAGAACTTATGTAAAATAATTCAAAAATATATAATAATAAATATATAATAATAAATTATTCATTACTGTATTATTCAATAACTATATTGAACGTATTTCAAAACTATTAAGTATTCATTTTTTTTTTTACGTTTTTTTTTATAATCTACATATAAGATCTTAAAACACAAACAATTTCGTTTTTCCTGAATGAATTATTATCTATTCACTATTGATTATACAATTAAAAAAAAATCTAACATAATATTTTACTGCATAAATTTGAGCTTAAAGGATGACTTTACTGGTTGAAAGTTGGATCTTATAGTTTTTAATAAATTATAAGTATTTTATTTAACTGCCGTGGAATTTAATTATATTAATTCATCTATACATGTCTATTAATATCATATTAAAAATATTTAAAATTAATGACTATATAGTATATTTTCAGGCATAAGCGTTTAAAAACTTATACGGTGAAAACTCGTACCTTCTTGTAGGTAATATATATAATTTATTTAGTAACGAAAAATAATTTTAAAAAACACAACGTATCCATATTAATAATATATTACAAATAAATTAATAGTATATTATACTTACAGCTTGTTTATATATATCGGCAACCCTCTGACTAGCGTTGAAGCCTTTTTTACTCCTAACGAGAATCGCGATAGTTTTCACGGGACAAGACCTGAGTAATTTTTCCGTGAGTATTTTCCCCAAAAATCCCGTACTCCCGGTAATTAAGAACGTCCCGTTTCTAAATGTTTCGGCTATGCCACCGGCTGTTTCCATTGCGTTCTGTTGGTTCTGGACGGTGCACGACACAAATTACTAAGAAATTACTATGCGGGACTATTCCAGTCGGGCTACGGTATTGAGTGTAGACGATGATCTAGTATAACTGCGAGGTGTACAAGACTCGGAACCTCTGCGGATAACCAACTCAATCGGTGTTCGTCACGCTATCCTTATATATATATATATATACACACTACGTATACCACCTATATATGTATAGGCCGGACTCGAGGCGGATACTATGTAACTGCAGTTACGGCTACGGAAAAATTCGTCCCCACTATGTTCGTTGGGCGTTCATCATCAAAATCTAGAAAAACCTAATAAAAAAAAATATAGGTATATATAAAAAAGAATTAATAATTACATCACGATGCACGCACACATGCCGAGAAATCAGTTTTTGAAAACTATAACCGACAATCATGTAGGTATCACCTATAAAATATTATACATATATGTGTGTGTGTGTGTGTGTGTGTGTGCCGTTAATATATAACATTTTAATGTATGTTTATGATGTTCATGTGCCTATAGGCAATTAAACACATGAAATATTATGTATATTATTATCCTATACAACAGAGTATACGTCCTGTTTAATATTATTAACATA